TCTGGGTCTCTCTGCTTAGGCTGCTGCCCCTGAGACCCGATTCCAGATAAGCGGCAGAAAACGGACGGACGGATTTAAGCTCTGAGTAAAAGTCTATTAATTAATGTATACCTGTCTGGTTCTTTGACATGCTGTCTGCTTAAAGATTGCAAGCACATGATTAGAAAAGTGTTCGATACAAAATAAAACTTAACCAGATTTTTTTTCTTATACATTTTCAAATTATATTTTGAGGTCACATTAATAATGTGGCATAACTGGTTTGTGCAAGAAATTGATCAGTCAATGGGTGTAAAACAAATTTCTGAACTCGGTACTATTGTTGTATGTCAAAACATCGCTGCAGTAATCACAGCAGCTCTGTGAAAGGTGCCACGATGGATAATGGAGCCGTCAAAACAGTTAGCTTTCAGTCACAACTGGTGTTATTAAAAAAGGAGAAACCACATTTAAACTATTCAGTGGTACTGCACGTGTTTTCAGTCATTTTTCAAATCAATCTGGTTGTAAAAAAATAGGCTCTCTTATTTATATGCATACAAATAAGAGAAGTGGGACTCAGATTTATGAATGGGAATAGCTTCGATTTATAACAGAGATAAGTTCCTCCTGGTTGTCATCCTTTACAGCTCCTCGCTTTCTTCCAAATCCACAAATTCACAGGTAATTCTTCATTAAAATCTTATACCCCACCACTCTTTACCTTTCTCTGTTGAAGTCTGCCAGCAGTTGAAGAGAAGTGTGCAGTCAGCTTGTTCCTTAAAGGTCAAAAGGGAAAAAAAGTCAATAAGACGGTAACGGCTATATTGGGATTGAGTCTTTCACCATAGCAGCTAATTTCCTTTTAAACCTGACCAAATGTCAGCAGCAGGCCTGTTTGAAACCCCTGCAGAATACTGTCAGTTTTTGGTGGTCAGAATGGTAATGGATGATACTGGAGTCATTAGATATGGTATGAAAGGAGATTATGCTTCATACAGTATGTCTCACGATATAAAGTCACACTCAAAGAATATTAAACTGGAACGACAGTCAGAATGTCTTCACTCAGTTTCATCACTCAGATTTCCCAGCTCTTCAATAGGTTTGAAGAAATTCAGACCGAACCATTGCCAAACATTGCCGACACACAAACAACAAAACAACACTTGAACATTTTTGTTTTGTAGAGGAACATTTGATACATATTAATAACTTAGTGTACGGTAGATAACATCAGTGACATACTGCAGGTATGACTTATACATGGAAAAGATTAAAAAAACAGCTAAATTGCAGCTTTGGTGATTTCTACAGCACATTTGCTTTGTCATGTTATATGACAACAGACTGTCAAGTAAATCAGCAACTGGTGCCTTTTTCTAATGGAATTCTCACTCCAGTACACGTCACAAAAACAGATCATGAGCTATGCTGTCAGCAAACCCTCCACCACTTCTATCCTTTATTACATATTTCAAAAATAATAAATTATCTTCTTTCAAATCATTTGAAGTATACCTAATCTTGGTAAATAATTGAGGACATTATTTATTTATTTATTTACCATTATTTAACCAGCAAGTCCCATTGAGATCTCATCTCTTTTTCAAGGGTGGCCTGGGCCTGAAGGCAACCTATTGTACATGTTTTTAGGGGTGGGAGAATCTGGAGTACCCAGAGAAAACCCACAGAAGCACGAGGAGTACATGCAAACTCCACACAGAAAGAGCCCAGGTCTGAACCTATGACCTTCTTCCTGTGAGGCGTCAGTGCTAACCACTGAGCCGTCATGCCACTATATACTGTAGTGATAGAGTGCAAAAATCCACAACACACAATTTGCTATACAAAATTATATATATATATATATATATATGTGTGTGTGTGTGTGTGTGTGTGTGTGTGTGTGGGTGTGTGTGTGTGTGTGTGTAACAAGATATTAAAAAAGTTCAAAAAAGTCAGTTTTGTATAATAAAACCTTTTTAAAGATGAAGTAATGGTAACAGTAAAAATGATTGTGACCATGAATATACAATGTATTGACTGTACTTTAAAACAGAACAACGCATCAAATAAAAATTATTGTGAACTTGTTAATATAATTTATCTTAAATTAGTGCGGCTAGCACCTTCCTGTCTGAATTGATGATTAATATTAATATTTATATTGAAAATAGCCATCTTTTTTTCAGGCGAGTTAGGGCTTTTTTGACTGAAAAAAGTTGTTACACTTCCTTCTACATGTACAGCATTCAAATTTCATGGTGCTAGCACATTCCTGTCTCAAGATATGACTAAAATTAATATCCATAAAATTAGCATCTAATTGTTACACTTCTCCCCAGTTGACTTTACTCAAACCATGCCCACATATCAATACAACCAATCCCACACAAGTCCATCCAACCAATCACGGCTTACCCAAACAATGCCCACACCCAAGGAACTTACTTGAGAGTAAAGGGTCCTGTGCGGAATCATGTGACAAACATATTTTAACCAAACCAGACATTTTACTTGATTTAAACTTTATTCAGCAGAAAACACATCCTCCCTCTTTGACTCAGCTTTAGCTCTTCCAACAATAAGCCTTGTCACTATAGTAGCCTCTAAAGGCTCAGAGGCAGTAGTTAGTTCTTTCATCACAAATGTATTCATTAATACATACAAAATACTGCTGCCATTCAGTAAGTGGTGATTAAAAGCCCAGTTTGACATCTGACTGCTATGCAATTAAAATCAGTGTAAAACTACACACACAAGAATGAATCGTAAGGCTGATAATTCAGCAACGATGAGTGTAATATTCCCCAAACGGAAACCACAAATGGAAAATTTACCATCAAATTCTATGCTGGCATTCTGTGAGTTGATGGTTAATTGAGTCATTTCAAAACTTTAATGAGCTAAAAAGACATTTGGGAAGTGAAAAACTCTTTGGTTAATATAATAAAATTAATTCATCCAAAGTAAATTCCAGCCATTAAATAAGTCCAGTCTAGCTCTTGTGTGTTGTTCAAATAGTCCACATAACTGCTGATGCCTCTTCCCCTCTGCTTCTGTTTGTACAAGTCAAATAGAGGTCATTCAAATCAATTTTAATCAAACTCGTATATGTGCAGATTTGGTTATAAATATAGTGACTTATTAACTTCCTTTAAAAGGATAGAGTCTGAGTTCTTGACCACTTCATGAAGGCTCCTGTTGAATATATCCTCTTTCATACAACTTTGGGCACCACCTTGTCTTAGCTCCAATACGTTTTCTGGTAGTCCTAATCAGGCTGAGGTCTGGACTTTGGCAAATCTATGCTACACCTCAATACTTTGTAAGCCATCTTTTTGTTGGTTTGCTGGTTGGCTGGAGATCAATGTTCAGTTGCATAAACTAATTTCACTCAAGCTTCAGCAGTCAGAGAAATAGAATTATTTCTGGCAGTAGAAAATGTTAGAATACAGACAAGCTTTTTGATAGCTGCAAGACACTCATTGACTCGCTCGTTGACATGCTGTGAATGGTTTTCACTAAATGTGGCACAAGCAACTTATATTTGTTCTCATCAAAAGGTAGACTTTGAGAAGCCTCACTTTTTTGTAGCTGGAGCTCAATAAACTCAAGCAATGTTGCCATGTTCGTTTTCGAGGGAAGACATTTTCCTCAAGCATTTCCTCAAAACAAGCATTGGTTGCTCAATCTTTTTCTATTTGTACAGTCACAAACTTTACAGTTACCCATGCTAGCTGGGGCCTGTAAAGTCTGAGATGCAGCTCGTGGGTATTTTGTAATTTCTCTGAGCAGTGCATGTTCTGACCTCAGGGTGAACTCGCTAGGATGCTCACTCCTGGGAAGACTGGCAAATGTTTTCCACTTGTCAATAATTTGTCTTACTATAGAGAGGCAAAATCTAAAAAGTTTGGAAAAGGCCTTGTGTTCTTTTCAAAATGTTGGGCAGCAACAATTGTTCCTCTAAGACCACAGATGATCAGTTCTACGCAAACTTCCAATGATGAATAAATCAAAATGAATAAGATCGTTTTGTGATGATTCTCAGTCAAAGATTCTTGGGCCCATGCTAGAAAAGCAATTCACAACAGCAACAGTTAGAATCCTGCTTTTGTTGGATCTAGACGTCAAAACCAATGACTTAATTAACAGTTCAATCCCAGAGCCTTTTCTTTTGTGTCATACTAACAACCCGAAAGATGATTATTAGAAGCACCGTGTATAAGCAGATGCCTACTGAGTGTGACAACATTGGATCAGATTCACTGCTGGAGCCATCTTTTTCTCCCCCATTTACAATTTGAAAAGCATTCATGCTTTCAACTCATCATCAAATCTTCTTGCCTTACAATGTGGAACATTCTGCAGGACCATTAGTAAAATAATTTGCAATTACTACAATAGTCAGAAATTACTATAATTGCCCCCATTTCCCCTTTTGGTTTGTGAAAGGTACATTTTCATATTAAGCATTAGACTATTAAGGATGGATAGCCCATGCATTAAGTAGCGCCTGGTGAGTAAAAAAAAGAAAAGGAAGTCAATTTCCAATTTAGCCATTATTGTGTTAGTTTAGGTAGATTGATATTTTAGTGAAGAGCTTTGACTTTTTTAGGCATTTTAATTTGCATGCAAACAAGTTGATTAGCAAGCCAAGTACTGGTTTAAACTACATTAGTGCTCATGGTAATTGGCTTATGTTTTATGTGCAATAAGAAACATTCAGGCTTTCTGCAGTGGCCCCTGAAGGCTAAGGAAAGCACAAAATAAATGTCCAGGAAACAGAAGCCTTTCTCTTGTGTAGGAGTTACAATACAGTCCCTAAAAACTGTGACTATGTTAGTGCACATGTATTTATTCATCTGTAAGGACAATCACGTCAATGCAAATATGATTCGCTACATAACAATTAAGGCACATTGTTAAGCTTTTGGTGTGATGGTGGTTCTATTTAAAGGTGAAACATTTTCTGTGGTGTCATAATAAAGTGTGTATGTGCGAAAGGGTCAACTTACCACAGCGACAGGAACCCAGTTCTTGCTGTACCAGCTCCAGTTTAGTTTGGCAGCGATGGCAACGTTTGCGGCTCCGCTGTTTAGAGCCGCCGCGAGACGACGGTGACGATGATGCTGACAAAGATGATGATGAAGAGCACTCATCATGCTCTGGGACTTGACCCACTCTTGCTCGCTTCTCAGGTGAACTATCAATGTCTGACTCTGAGGAAGGACACACACAAGGACATGCATATAAGAAAAAGGAAAAAAAGCTAATGGCCACTATCTGTAACTGCAGTTTTATGAATTAATGAACAGGTTCAACATTTTTAAAGCAGATTCCTGGATAAAATATTATACTAGAAAAAAAATCTCCATAATGACTTCATACTGAATATTTATTCAGGTCCTTTTTGGGTCAAACCAGTCCAAATAATGCAGGTACAAGACTCTCCATCCAACCGTCCGTATTCCACAAATAGACAGAATGTCATTTTGAGAATATGCTTTAAAAATAAAAACACAACTACATTTATTTTTCTATCTCAAATTAAACATGTGAATGTTAATTAACTTAAAATTATTTGCAATATAATTGCAGCTCTGCAAATTTCACATGACAATCCAACCAGATTCATCACTCTGTGTCCAGAACTGTAAATTTCAAGAAGATTTAGAAAAAAAACCTTCAGATTTAGCAGCAATATTATTTCAAAAGCACTGAAGGTCCAGTCCTCAAATGGAAAAGGGTAGACACAGGGAGATCCGGGGTGAAATTTTTGCTTTGTGTTGAATTTAAAAAAAAATACAGAGAAAGATAGATTAATGGGTCTCCTGCTTTAGATTACTACCCCACATCAGGGACAGTAGGAGCCTGTAGCAAGCTTCCGCTAGTTGGCTAGAATTTCAACTCAGCTTTTCACATCAATCCGGCAGACTTTTTCCTCGGCCCTGCCAAAATGCAGATCAGCACTCAATAAATCTCTGAGAACTAGGCCATGCTTGGCAGTCAGACACCCCCTTCCTGTCCCACCAGCCTGCCTCATCGATCCCCCTCTGTATGTGAGACTGTGATTGTGTGCATGTACCATTTCATACAGTGAAAAAGAATGGCAACCTCTTCACCTGATTTTTATTATTGTACATCCTCCCTATGGGCTGGAAAACCTTTAATTATAAGCTAAACTATGCAATTGAAGCTAAGGTATGTGCAATGTCATGTGCAAAAATAAACTTGGGACAGCTCATGACACCATGTTATAAACACCTTTATTTTGACTTAAAATAAAGCTGCAAATAACTGCATGTATGGAGCTAATACTATATTAATACAATATTAATTTAAACAAGACATCAGGATGCTCAAATACTCATGGTAAAGATTTGTTTACCTATACTACAGTTTTGTCTGTGTGACATCTACATTTTAAAACTATCTATTGCCATTACCTCTACTTAAAAACAAGCCATCCATTTTGGATTTATCTTATGGCGTTCATGCAAGTCAGTCATTTATACTTGGCCTCATTAGTGGGGGAAGTGGTGTGAATTAAGGCAACTACTGGTAGAGGTGAGACATACCTGATTCATATGAACGTTTTGTGGGAGTGGAGAATGAACTCAAGACTGTATCAGTGCTGGAAACTCCTGGAAAAGAAACAGTGAGGGGAAAAAAGAGCAGGGATGAATAAAAGTAATTTGAAGAAAACAATTTCATTAATACTATTATATCAAGGAAGGTACATAATCTACAACTAAAGAGCATTAGTGTAAACTAGTGTAAACTTTACAAACTATTTTGAAATGTTAAAATGAATACAGTGCAATATAACGCATAGGAACACTTAAGAGTTTAGAGCTGCACAATACATCATTTGAGCACCATCATCACAGTATGTGTGAGCAACAGTCACTTTGTGAGGAAGATGAGCAAATTCGTAAAGAACTGGAGGAAGAGAGGTAAAATGCAGTTAGCATGAATGCTAATATTAAAGTAGTGCTGGGCGGTTTACCGTTTTGTACTGAAAACTGGTTTTTATTTTTGTTATTGATATGACTTTTCTGAATATCGGTGTAAATAGCCTGAACACGTGCGGAACGTTTCTTCGCGGCTGCCAGTGAACTGTTTCTCTGGGAACACGTTTCCTCGTATCACCGCTAAGCGCATTAGCATGCTAATGTTACTGTTGGAACAACTGGCGGCAGGTGGTGTGTTTCAACCGCTTATATGGTCTGATGTAAAAAAAAAGATCATCCCGTTTTCACCATCGCTGAAGAGTAAACAACTCTTCAGTGACGTGCACGGTTAGATTTAACGCACTACGTTAAAATGCAGATGTTATTGCATGGAGACTCTAGCGTGCTTCTATTGTGAAAAGCCTGGGGGGAAGTAGTTTTGTAGTGTAGCTGAGTTGACTGGTGTGCAAGGTGAGTCGTCCTTTTAGGTTTATTAACACGTAACGATAGAGCAGATAATGATTTTTTTCTTAAACCTTCATGATCTGACCTAAATGCATGATTACTGTCTACAACCAGGCAAAGAAGAAAAGACGTACACGGGGAGGGAAACAGTGATACAGACGTACAGTAAAAGAAAAAAAGTCAATAATCAAAGTTTGTACATTTTATTATCAGCTGAGCTGTGAGGAAAAAAATACTATCAAATACCGTGAAACCGGTGTAATTGTTGAAAATACCATGATATAAAATTTGGGTCATACCGCCCAGCTCTATATTAAAGCATGACAGAAACTAAGATGGACAATCTGAAATGGCAATAATAAAAAAAACCTTTGTGGTAAAATGCAATTCACATTTGCACAAGAGGGAAACACGTACTCAGGTCCCAGCAAAATAAGAGCAAGCAATAAAAGATGGAGCATACGTAACGCCACAAAAGAAGGTTAGATCAGTGCAGGTTCATTGTTAACAAGATGGCAGCGTATCCTAAAAGTGAAGCCCTAACAAAGTTTTTTTTTTTTTAATCAAGAGATACTAAAGACAAAACCTTTAGAAATTCTGCTCATAGTTGCCGGGATACTCTAGTGCCATTTTCTACACAGTACCAAGATGAAAAGACCATGACTGGCCTGTGTGGAATCCATTATCATTCTGTGAGCTTTTTTTTCCTCCCAAACAGCTACTATGCTGGATATCTGATGGATATCTGAATGGGAAGACTCCAGTTTGCATATGTGCAAAATAAGCAGGTCAAGAGAAAGCTGGACAGAGCTTGGGCATGGCCAAATTTGTTTCTGATACAGTTTTAAAACAAGATCACAATGAATAATATTCTGAATTCACACATAACAAATCAAGACATATTTGTGTTTTTTATTTCTTATTATGAAAAGACAATATACTGCAATTAAGCCTCACAAGAATAGTAAAAATCATAATCATTGCATCAATAAAAAAACATTCTGAGTTATCAGGTTCAGAGTTTTGTACAAGTCACTTTGATGAGGTGCTTTTAGGAATGCCTCTTGTAACAGTGGACAAGGTTAATGTGTTTTTCTAAACATCTCTACAAATCATTTTGGTAGCCACCTTTTCCGTGCTGAACAAGCCTCCCCAAATAAACTTGTCACCACAGAAATGACGGATGTCAGGGCAATTGTAGGTGTCCTCTTCCAAGTTTTTGCTTCTGAGAAGATATCTTTGCCATCAGTCTGTGTGTCATGAGAAAATATGGCCAGCAAAGATGCAGCACAGCTGCTGCTTTAGCTGGTAAACTTCTACAGGCCGTCTATAAGAGTCTACTCGATGGTACGATTCTCTTATCTTAAAAATAAAAATAAAAAATGTGTGCAATACAAGTTGTTTCTGAAATTTTACTTTGACTTACCTTAATGTGCAAAGAAATCACAACAAACCAACTAACTATGTACTATAAAGCATTTCTACTTTTTAAGTGCGCGCGTGTGTGGTGGTGGTGAAGGGGAGGGTTAGGCTTGGGCGGTATCACAGTATTTTGGCACACCGCGGTATCAAAATATAGTGACACATTCATAAATCATGACATATTATTCACATGAGGTGATGCACCAAATTTTCACAAGGCTGCTAAGAAAGCTTGGACATAAACATTCTAGGCTCTTTCAGTCCACCTCAACTCAAATCACCAATGGATTGGATTGCTTTACGATTTAAGGTTTTGGTGATTTTTTGTTTTATTAAATTTTTTCAGGATGAGCACTGATCAGTGCAGACAAGGAAATGACTCGGAACTACCACCATACTTTATTGGCACAAAGACTGGCTAAAGGATGAAGATACAGCCATGGTAAGAGTCAGATTATTTTGAAACTTAAAACCCTAAAAAGATCTAGTTCGACTTAAGGTTTGTTTATACTTCATGCAAGATGTGCGGCTACGGCCCAGCGATGACGTAATTGTGTTTGTGTCACCGACTGCATTGAGTGTTTATATTTGGAAAAGACGTGGGGGATACATTATAGTAATCCCTCCCTCTGCCCTCCCACTGCATACGTCAAGCAACTCAAGCGTGATTTTATATTTAAGTTTCTGTAATAAATCACTTCATTTTCTCTAAAAAGTAGGCCAGCGAGGGTGTTTTATTACATCGATTTGTGAGTCCGTTGTATCGGATGTTGTCATGTTTGTTGTCATCCCCCGGTGTTTACAGGTCCAGCAAAAAATAAATAAGAAAAAAGGCAAAAAAGAAATAATGAGGAATTGGATTGGTCCCGTCAGGATCCCCGCTCCGGACCTGCATTCTCCGTTTGGTCTTTGCAAACCGGTCACGGAGAGTCCGCCACCGTTTGGGCAGACAGCCTCCTCTGTTTGCAACATTTCTGCAATCTCCCTCCATGAATTTTTTGCCATTTGGCATTACTTGTACTCCGCAGTAGAGAAATTATACAGATGTTTGTACCTCTGGACCGCCTCAGCAAGTTTCTCTTTGAAACTATCCATGTTTACAAACAAAAACCGGCCTATGAAAGCGAGTACCAGGTAGCGGAGTGATACACCAAACAAAAACGCCCACAAACTTTGAACCAATCACACGTGCGGAGCCCCAACCTCCGCATCTCGGAGTGCTGATTGGGGGCAATGTATTGGACAGCTGTCACCGGGGGATAGCAGCGGGAGTGCAGACGAAAGTTGCGCAACTTTTTTTCACTCAGCGGTGGGTAAAAGACGTGCAACAAGAAGTATAAACCAGCCTTTATTTTGATCTGTTCGACATAAGAGGCAAGAGCCATCATGTGATTCCTCTCCTGCTGCTCTCAGATTGATTGACAGTAGTGTCAGGGCAGTAGAGTTTTTTTTTCCTCATGCCTCTCTCTGGCTCTACTTGCATGTAAATGATCACAGTTTCTTCATTACTTATTAAATACTCAAGAATCTACAGACCAAACATCCCCACCTGGTAATACTGTATAACACTGTACTTTCTGAAGGTTATACTGCAGTTTGAAAATGATCAATACCGCCTAACTGTAGTGGGGGTAATCTATTAATGCTGAACTTACCGCTCTGAACAGAGACAGATGTCACTCCAGTCTCTCCTGGCAAAGAGTCCTCTGAAGAGTTGGGCATTGACATCAGGGACTGACTAATGCTGCTGTTCGTTTCATTACAGAAGATGTCGGTCTGACTGCTGCTGCTGCTGGTGCTTGATGAGGTCTTTGGAGCACAGTCGTCATTTGGCTGTTTCTTCTGAATGTCTGAAAAGAGAGTGATATAGTGTCTACATATTGAACTGTAACATTATTTTGGGTACAGTCTGACAGTTAGGTTGGGTAAAAAAATCAAACGTGAGTCACTATGAAGCATCTTTGAATTAACAAAAGGTTTATTCAAATGTTATTTAAATGAGTATATCTTTATTCAAGGATTTAATTACAGTCTGATTTAGAGAAATTTTTTGTGGACAGATTTTCCTTCAAGGTGCACAAAAAACCTTAATGTTACATCAGTAAGCAAAGGGCGGCATTTACTTTTTTGATACTTTTGGAATATTCATCTTGATACTTTTTAAATGGCTGGAATAAAAAATGAAATAATTATAAATATCCATATATTGTTAAATATTTTTAAGAAGGAATGATACCTTGAGAGTTCGCCTTCCAAGTGAAAATGTTAATTGGTACTGGTGCCAAATTGAAAGCTTTAGCGTTACAATCTATAACTCATAAACTACTCTGGTGCAATTTTTCTTTTACAAAATCATTGTTCTATTTTTCATTAATAAAAACATACTATTCTGATATGTGATATGTTTCTTTGTTTTTATACATTTAAGCTTTAATAAATGCTGACAACAATATGATTTTCCACTTAAAATTGTTAATTTATTTAATGAAAAAGTGACAAGACTGCTCAAATTCCTGTAAAAGCAAGTGATCTGGTTGAAGACTTTAGTGCACTGACTCACTGTGCATCTTCACTTAGTGAAACAAATAACACAAGCTGAGTGTTATTGAGTGCTCAATGTTGAACTGACTGAACAGCTGTTTTAACATTTAAGCCACATTGGTTGAACAGATTTTTCTTCCTGTGCCATTATAAGAGAGAAAAAATATTTACACCAATAGGAAGGAATATTGAAGGAAGCCATTATCTACTTTTTGTTACACAATTTGAACTGCAGACCATTAATATTAATGCTCTGACCCCATATAACTATTGATTATGTTAGTTTATGATAGACCAGCAGACTGTTCAGAGTGTATGCAGCCGCTTGGCCTTCGACTTCTGGGTCAAGTGCATGCCTCCAGTCATTCATGTGCATGATTGGGCAGATTCAGAAAATGAGTAAATGAGATAATTTGAGTTTATAACTCAATTAATATGAGGTTATGTTCAAATAACACTTATCAATCAATCAAACATAAGTAAAATAGAACCTCTTACCTGCAAAACATTTTGAGCAGAGATTCTTAGTTTTGCTTGACCTTGGGAGAAAGGAAGAAACTGTTATTAACACAGGTAAGAGCTTACAAGGAATGCAAAAAAAAAATACAAACTAGTGTTGCTTGTAAACAGAACACAAGTAAGAAAATAAAAGAAAGCCAGCATGAAATAAAGAGAAAAGAAAAGGAAAACATATTAAAAAAAATAATGACTGGACAGCATGAAGAAAGCTCCCCAGCAGAATTTTCTAATCTTCTATCAAAAACATGTAAGTCAAAATACTTAATCACATTTGCAAATACGAGTTTCAATTCGCATCCTAAAAGCTGGCAATTAGAAAACACCTCAGTTTCATTTTTCTCCCTACTAGTTTAAAATCTAATTGCAATGACTTTTTATACTGGGCGAAATAATCTGTACCTAATGTGTTGATGGCCAATTAAGGTCAACTGAAATGAATAATTTCAACAAAATATCTCTTGTTTTTTGCTGCAAAACCTGTTAATTTTCAATGCCTCCAACAGCACTTAAAAATACACTTTAAGGGGTCAAAGTTGAGACTCCAAGTACCTAAAAGATACTTCTCAACAATCCCAGTCCAAACACTTCTAAAGCTCATGGTTCACCAAACCACAGAAAACACCACAGGACAAACCCCAGAAATCCTGATGCAAATCTGCAAAAGGCAAACACTGGACTGTCAGCACAAGGGCATTATTTTAAAACCCATTCTTTACTGTAAGATTTGGGTTCTTCAGGACCAGCCCTTATTCAGTCCAGACCTGGATCACTACCTATAATGGTTAATACATTCTGAGGCTAATTGTCAAGCCAAAAGGTAATTAACTTTGTACATTAACTTTTGTAGCTCGTAGCACTAGTGCTACAGAGGTTGATGATTTTGTAGCACAGAACAAAAAGTTGTAATACCAGCATAAAATGTCTGTCTCTAAAACCAAAAGCACAAACTGTGAATTGTTAAAGTTTGGGGTTCCTTAACCTTTTTGAAACTGAGTTACTTCAGGGGTACAGAACACAAAGGGCTACTGGATTGACACAAACAAATTTGCATGACTCACCTTTAATTATAAAATTAATCAATTTACAAATACACTATATTGCCAAAAGTAATGTCTCACCTGCCTTGACTCACATATGAGCTTAAGTGACATCCTATTCCTAATCCATAGGGTTCAATATGACATAGGTCCACCCTTTGCAACTAGAACAGCTTCAACTCTTCTGGGAAGGCTGTCTACAAGGTTTAAAAGTGTGTTTATGGGGATTTTTGACCATTTTTCCAGAAGCACATTTGTGAGGTCATCTCTGGGGGAATCCCAAGGCATTCCCAGGCTAGCTGTGTCTTGGGTCTTCCTCTGGGCCTCCTCCCAGTGGGACATGCACGGAACAGGGAGAAGTCCAGGAGGCATCCTAACCAGATGCCCAAGCCACCTCAACTGGCTCCTCTCGACGTGGAGGAGCAGTAGCTCTACTCTGAGTCCTTCCCAGATGACCGAGCTTCTCACCCTATCTCTAAGGGAGAGCCCAGACACCCTGCGGAGGAAACTCATTTCGGCCGCTTGTATGATCTTGTTCTTTCGGTCACTGCCCATGGCATGACCATAGATGAGGTTAGAGGAACGTAGATCAACCAGTAAATAGAGAGCTTCACCTTTTGGCTCAGTTCTCACTTTAAAAACTCCTTGTGATAATTAATAATTTACTATGATAAATTATTATTATTATTATTATTAACATTAACAATAAGTTATTTAAACTCTCTGTGTGCAGCAGCAGATGGATCTTAGCCCAGAGTTCAGTTTGAATCAAATTTGGAGCTCTTCTGTGTGACTGTAGTTTTAAAGAAACTATAAGTAAAATCCTGAAATCACACCCCATTTCTAAAAATCTTTGTCTTTAAAAGGGATCCATGATTAGTTGTAACATTAGACTTTATTTGATAAACATTTGTTTTAACTGTGAAATAAAGACTGTAAAAATACTGTAGACTGTTTAGTTTTTATAATTTAAAATACATATATTTTAACATGGACAGAGCCATTTTATTTACACGCAAAGCATTCTGGCTAAATGACGACGTGGATAGGTCCTCGGTGTGAGCGAGCTATATCCACCCTGAAGGTTAATCTTGGACAATATCTGATGATCGACTCTTTTAAATGAAACCAGAGAGCGTTGACAGAGAGGAGAAGGTAGAAATGACTCAGCCTGGAACTGAAAATATGGATGGAGGACAACAGAGCTGCTTTCATGGAAGAAGAACCTCAGCTTAGCCTGTTAGCCTTTGCGCTAGCGCTGACACTATACTCCCTTATAGATATTAGTTCGGCGCTAGCGCGACAAACTAACAAGCTAAACTGAGCTCCTCCATCCATATTTTCAGTTGCCGGCTGAGTCATTTTTGTGTTCCCCTCTCTGTAATGTGGATGGAGGACCTCAGTGACGAGAGGAGAATATGTAGCACTGAGCTAATACATATATATGGTGATAGCGTCAGGGCTAACGCTAAAGCTAACAGGCTCATACTGTAGGATAGAAGAGTAATTACATCACTAAGGTAATCATTTTCACCTGTTGGATCTTCTTTGGAAAAAATAAGTAGCTAGCAAAGCAGTAGCACCAGTGCTACAAAAGATATTTTTTATAGCACACAGACAGTTATTTTTTAATCGCATGTGCGACATATAGTATGTCATGAAGGAAAGTGGCATCATCAAACTATTGTATCCCAATAAAAACTGAAAGACATCATGAATTTGTTGGCAATGAACAACATCTCACATGACAGCAACTTCCCTAATCGAAGTGTTGATTTAGCAACAAGTGTTGAATTAAAACATCATTAACTGTCCCTATTTGGCAATTACAAAAGCTTTGATGGTTTAGTTGAGTCAAGTCAATGAACAATTTCTTACGGTTTCCTAAACATACTTCACCTTTCATGAGCACCAAAAATGAACAAAAAAAAGATTAAAATAAAACATCTATTGTTATGGAATTGATCAATGAATCTTTTATGGCTTCAGCAGTCCTTTTACAGCAAATTGACCCGACTTTCCTCTGAGAAGCCTCCTCTCATTTCCTCTCCAGCCCACGTTCTTACTGTCTGTGCACTGAGCGTGACGGTCGCTGCTATCAGTCACATTCTATTTATTTTGGGCTTTGCGTTGCACACCTTTGTCCTCATTTCTAAATGTAGGGTCAGCTGCAGCCAACTTGAGGGCGGTCTGTCAGTCTACTGGTGTGCAGTCTTGGGTATGAACAGAGGAACAAGAAGTTAGGATGAAGGCCAACCCTCATCAGGAGACACATGCAGAGAGGATGCTGGGCAAACAACAAGTCATATCCTGCTATTAACCTTACAATTCAAAGGCAATCAACCCACAGATTCATTAAAGGAGAGGAAGGAAGAGGTAAACGGTGGCAATGCCTGCTCTGTGGTTGGTAGGCAGAATGAAGCCTGAACAAAGTGCACACAACCTGTTCCAGCTATGGTCCACTGCTGTTACTAATGAGAATTAAAGGAAATGAGAAGATAGGCTCTGTCATCTCTTCAGTTTGAATCAAAAGAGCGATTGACAGGATGGACACTGAACGTGTCAAGGAATTTGCTTCCTTATGATTCACACGGCATAGAAAGAAAAAAGTTTCTGTTTTGTAAAGGATTATTTTTTGTCACACATTTGTGTATGAATAACTTAGCGACAGACTACGTGGCATTATAGACTATGTGGTGTTAACCACATACAGAAGCTAAACTGGCTTAGGATGTTTAGGATGATAACATACCAAGCAATTTGACATTTGGTAAGGGCAGAGGTGTATAGTAATTAGGTACATTTACTTTGTTATAATACTTAAGTAATTTAGTAGTAGTTTGAGGATTTGTAATTTTACAAAGTATTTTTTTAAATGAAGAGTTGAATTTACTTAACCAAGTTATGTCAACTGCTTCGACTAAACCCAAGTTCAGTAAACGTAAAGCAATGTACTCGACTTGGTTTAGTGGAACCAGTTTGGTGAAGTAAAAACACTTAACTTCTTAAAACATGTGTAAAAGTACTTTTATTTTCCCAAACATTGTTAGTTTTATGACTTTTACTAAAGTAATTTTCTTATCAATAAAATTCATTTTGACCAAAGTCATTTTCTATTTTACTTAGTTACTTCTTGTAAGTATTTTATCAACCTCTGGGTATGGGTAAACATCAAACTCACACAACCTACCAAAAGGCAAAGTAAAAAATAAGATTTTATTGCAAAGTAATTGAGTGTTTAACATTGCTGTTTTTGTTAAATAATGTGCTTTTTATGTTGGATGAGAAATAAAAAGTGAAAAGCAAAAACATAAAAAATAACTACTTTCAGTTGTTAAAAAATATTGAAAAACAGCAAAAATAATTTTAATAATTAGCTTGTTGGTTTTAAATATTTTACTTATGAATAGCAGTACAAACCTAATAAAGAAACTCAGCCATCAATTATTTGATTTATTCAACAATTCTCAATTTTGCAAGTTGAAATGGTGAAGGGGGGGCACCATCTTCTCAATATGAGATCAATACAAAAGTGTTTTTAAATATGCTGTGCAGGTTTTTAAAACTATAAATGAACAAGGCCATTTATAGTTTTATATCTCATTACAGAACATGAAGAATTTCTGATTGATTTTAAATTGAAGATATTCAGGTTTGGTATAATCTCTGAATATATCAAAAATTAACCTTTTTTATGTTTTTAACAACTTAAACAACTAATCAGTTTGTTTACTTAAATATTTTTTTCTCTTTCTAAACTTGGAAAAAACTTGTATTGAAAGTGTATCACGTGTGCAATGACTAAGATTAAGACACTATTGATATCTGACAATACTGAACTTTATATTCTGCATTTGTGCTACTTAAAGCATGTTTTTCGGTTTTGACTATGAAATATGTACATTCAGAGTCAAGCTACATCATGTTTACCAGAAAAGGTCATAAAAAAGCAAAAATATATTACAAATTCCAACACAGAAATGTGAAACCATGGAGAGAGACTGCTGTAAAAACTAATTTTGTTAGTTCCATGTGTTTGCATCAGACAGCAGATATCGCATGCCTGTTTTCATTTTGCTATGAACCCTGAAACCTCGTTCAGCACTCTCACTAGAGACTAAAATTTAAAGCATCTCTTCAGCACTTTCTGCGGTTTTCTGATCCTGTAAGCAATCTCTTTAAAGAGAGAAAATCCTGCAGCAGGTGTTCACTGTGCAACAAGAACAACTCTGTGCCCTCCTGTGTCCTGTAGTAGTCACAGATGTGGTCCAAGGCCTCCAGTCAGTGACTCTTTAATGCACCCAGATAGAAGGATGCACTGACGCCAGTGTAATGATCAGAAATTATGCCAGTATGAATCTCAACAAAATGGCAATTAAAAATGCAAACTACACCCAACCTGGAGCGCAAGTCCATTAAATTGTGCGATTATTAGGTTTGTCAAACAATAAAACACCACAACAGTGTTCAATAATGTGATGCAACAATTTCAACAAGCCTTTAAAGACTTGCCTCCAACTGAACAAGTTGGCGCAATCAAGCTCATCTTTGGCTACGTTCACACTGCAGGCAAATCCGACCCAAATCCGATTTTTTTGACCCATCTGACTCATATCCGATTTTTTTATGACAGTCTGAACGAGACAAATCCGATTTTTTCAAATCCGACCCAGGCCGTTTCAGTATGTGGTTTTAAATCTGATATATATCTGATGTTTTCAAAGTGACTGCAGTGTGAACGCTCATGTCACATTCATCTGACTTTTTCATCAGGAGGAGGGGGTGAAGGATCGATAAGACACTAACCTCAAGTCTCGCTGTTTAAATCTGTAGCTCCGTGTGTTTACAGCTCCAAAACACAAGTCCATCTGCTTCATCTTTTTACTTTTCATTTTCCACGTAGATAGTATGATAATAATGGTCCAGCCTGGGTCGCGGAGAGTATCGATCCTAAAGTTGGCTACTCGATCGATACTTTTTTCCAGCTCGTAGTTTCGTTTAAAAAAATTAAAAAGCTTCACTGGAGCATCCCGGTCAGAGGCAGCTTCAGATATAAACACTGAACTAAAGAAGCAGGTCAGATAATAATTTAATCGGCTCTGATTAAACAACAACTTCAGATTCGATGTGCAAAATGTAGCATCCATGCTAGCTCTGTAAATAAACAAGCCGGCTGATGAGACGTCACGTCTTTTACTGCGCATGTGTGTCACATCAGTGCTGTGTAGCGTTCACACAGGGGTCTGATACAGGTCACATTTAAAATGTAATGTGAACGTTCACATTTAAAATGTAATGTGAACGTTCACATTTAAAATGTAATGTGAACGTTCACACAAAAAGATCGGATTTTTTCAAAAAATCACAACTGAGTATTAAGACCTGCAGTGTGAACGTAGCCTTTGATTGCAATGAGTCATTTAAAAATTCTGTCTGCATGTTAACCGGTACTACACTCATTTTTTCCCCCTTTAGGTACAGAATACACTGTGGGACGATGAAATCTATTCAAGTGTGATTTCCTTCAGAGCATGGGGCAACGTCACCATCCCCACAGGTCAGACTGAAGGTTTGAGTCCAGCCGAGACTACAGCAGGTCAACAGAGAATGTTTCAGAAACTTACTGAGTTTCTCTCGTGTTTTATTTTAATTGTACAATTCCCAAAAGTCAGAATAACTGTGTTTCTAATCTTAATATAAAGAATAAAATAGCAACTGGCTTTGTTTGCTGTTCATGTAAAATGTAAACCAGCAGTCTGTGTAACTGTTCATGCTTTGTTTTATGGCCTTACAATAGCTTATTGTTCTGTCAAGAAAAAGGCAGCACAACAGCTCAGTGGTTAAATGCCTCACAGCAAGAAGGTCCTGGGTTCAATCCCCCGGTTCAAAATGGTTTGAAAACCCAATTAAGATATTAAAAAACTTAATCAAACTGTATTTAAAAAAGTTAAAATCAAATGAAGTAATATTACAGCAGTGTGTCACTGACTTTGTTTGCATTATATGTTTTGTTTTTTTACTGAAAATCATATTGACAGCTTAGAAATGTCTCTAAAATACATCCTTAACTTGTAAAATTCTACAACTCATTTTGTTCAGACCTCTGAGGTCCTCAGTCGTTACAGTGTACTTTATTTTTAGGTCAGAGTAAAACTACTCTGGCTGGAAAGCAGTCAATCATTATTACAAGCATGAAGTTGTTGTTTTTTCTAAATGGCTTTATGGAGATTTTCCCTGTATATCAATTTAGATTTTTATGAAAACAAACAAATTGAACCTTGTCAGGATAAAAGGATGAAATATAAAACAGTAGATATAGTCAGCAAAAGCTCAACAACTTTTAGTTATTATTATTATAGATCAAATTATATCATTAATGAAATTCAAACTGTTAATTTCCTTATCTAAACAACTTGTTCCATTCTTTTTAAGTTTTTCTGAACTCCATATTACTTTGTCAAATAAAAATAAATTTTGTTTTATACCTTTTAATGATTGACTTAAAACTTGAAGTTAATAGCAATGGTCTAAGAATTTAAGGTCAAGACAAACCATATTGCATAATCACTTTTAGTATTAACTACTACCAACTAGGGGTGTAAGAAAATATTGATACACTGAAATATCGCGATATTTCATTTCCCGATACTGTATCGATATTCTAAAGCCCTGTATTGATTTTTAATTAAGGTTTAAAATGTCAACCTTCTTGCCAACCGTTCATTTTTATGTTGTAGTTCAGCCTCTGACCACTAGTTGGCAGCAGTGAGCCAGCCATTTGGCTCCTCTACCTCTCGAGCGCCAGAGAATAAGGGTAGCATTAGCATTGTAGGAGACAATGTAAGTATTGTAAGTAAACATTAGCTTTTTTTCAGTAGAAGGTTTTTATTTAATAGAATTTTTGGACAAAAAAATGGCAATATATCGCAATATATTGCCTTGCTTACAGTATCGCAATATATCGGGATATATCGTATTGTGTAGGGCTGTATTGGCAAGAATTTGGCGATACGATACATATCATAACAGAGGGGTCATGATACGATATATCCCAATATATTGCGATACTGTAAGCAAGGCGATATATTGTGATATATTGC